GGCTAATTTGACCTTCCATCTAAGATCACTTTCTATTGAAGAATATCCTTCAGAACTATATGTAAGGAGGGTCTCTCATCTTTTGTCTAAAATATTTTTATTGTGTCCTCATTCTTGAAAGATATTTTTACTGGACATAGAATCTAGCTTGGCAGTTCCTTTTATTTACAGAACATTAAATATATCAAACAACTCTCTTCTGGCTTCTACAATCCATTCAAAAGCAATCTGTTCGTTTTGTTTAACTGCTTTAATATGCCCTTCATCTTCCGTGTACTTCGCTATCTCTAAGGTTTGACCTGTGTGAGTAATTTATTCTTTAATGTACCCTGCTTGTTATTCACTGGGGTTTTAAAATCTCTACATCAGTGTTTTTCATCGATTCTGGTAAGTTCTCAGATATTATCTCATCAAATATTGATTATACTCCAGTCTCTTTCTTTTTCTGGAATTATTGGATATATGTTAGATTTCTTACTCTATCCTTCCCATTTCTTCATCTCTTTCATTTCTTATATATATTTTTTGTCTATGAGCGGTAACACCTGGACACTTTCTTCTGTCTTTATCTTTCAGTTCAATAATTCTCTCTTCAGAGGTGTCTAATCTCCCGTGTGCGTGTATTTAACTAAAATTGCTTCTTTTGTTGTTTTTGTTTTTTGTTTGTTTAGAAGATCTATTTGGCTGTGTTTCACACATGCTGGATTGTTTTAAACACTTTCTACTGTTTATAAAAATTTTAAGCCTTTTATTATTTAAACATCATAGTAAGGATAGTTCTAAAATTTGTGCCTGATAGTTCCTATATCTAAAGTATTTGTAGATCTGTTTCTGTCGGTTCTTTGTTTCCTTGTATAGTTTTAAATTTTCTCTTATAAGCTGCTCATTCCCCTTAGAAAATCGGCTTTGGCCTTGAGGGCCTATGAGGAAGGAGTTGGCTATAGAACGTTCATGTTTGTTTCTGCTGTGAGGTGTTCCCAGTCGGAGGCCACTTCAAACCGTATTCAGAGACTGAGGAGTTTTGTGCCACCCAGGTAATATAGTTTAGACTGTAAATCCATGGAAAACTACAACATTTCAAGGGTTATTTTGTTGTTTTGATGCTCAACACTGAGGTGAGTTTACTTGCGCCCCCCTAACACTGAGGAGGGTGGAGCGCATTTCTCCAGTTCGCCCTCCCGCTGGGAGTGGGTCCTGGTCTAACGCTGGACCCCCACCTGGCAGGACAGGCTTAACGCCTCTGCCCTTTGGTCCAGGAGCTGGAAACCAAGACTCCTGGGCCCTCGGACAGATGCCCTCGAGGCAAAAGAAGCCTCTTCCAGGCTTCCTTGTTCACTTAAGTTGTAACCTGCTAATTTCCTATTCTGACAATTTACTTTGTCACATCAAAGGACTTTTTTGTATTTCATTCAGAACTCGTAGTTTCAGTCAGCAGAAAGTGTGGCTATTGTGACCGAGCCGGCCAGGGCAGCAGAGACGGAAGGCGCATCGGCGCCCTCTGCTTCTGTCTCACGCGCGTTGGTCTCTGGCACGGGCTCAGCTCACAGAATTCTTCTTTCCCTCCCACTGCTAAACAAATACCTCAACATCGTATACTGAATAATCAATTCCTGATTGTGACATTTAATTTTTACATAATAAATTCACATAAGTAATTTGTCTCCTTTCTGTGTTTTACTGATTCACTAATCTCATTCTCTAATCTTGGATGAACCTCATTTTTTTGATTACTCGGTCTTTTAATATACCATTAAATCTCAAAGTGCTAAATTCCTCTTCCTTATTCTTCTTTTTTAGATTTTTTTTAAAGCTATTAATTGCTATTCTTTTATATGAACCTTAGAATCATTTCTCCAAGTTATAAATACAATATCTTTATAACTGTTTTCAACTATATTAAACCTATAAATTTATTAGAAAGAAATGGCATTTAATAAATCTGTGGCTTCCTACCCCAAAATCAGGTTATGTCTATTTATCACCACTTATTCGTAACTTCATTTACATTTTAATAGACTGCTGTAGTTTTCTTCTTCCTGACACTACTTGTTAAAATCATTCCTGTCACCAGTTCATATATTTTGTTGCTATTGTCAGTTGAATCATGTTTGCATTATATTTCCTAAGGTTATTTTTGATATGTAGGAACATTCTTGCTTTTCTAAATTTTCTTGTCTCTGATGGTATATGTGAATTCTCTTATGAATCATGGTCGAGTCGAATAAGCTTTCCTGTGCCTTCCATTTGAATGCAATGATGCAATCCACACTTGTTTTCCTTTCAGGATTTATGTTAGCCAGAACTTCTAGAACAATGTTCATAACGTAATACTTTTCCCTATTTTGATGATGGGCCCATGCGTGTTTAATAAATACAGTGTACTAGCTCTTAGTATACAAAACGTCTTAAATTCACGTGGCATTTGAAGTAGCGCTTCCTGCTCCAATGCTGCAAGGAAGCCTAAGAAGCCCTGGCCCACCCCACGCAGCCAGGAGACTTAGCCGGCGGGCAGGGGTGGGTGTGGGGGCCAAAAAAACCTACGTTATAAAAGCAATGGTTTAAAAGCAGCTGTGTGAATTGTACAGATAAAAATTAGGTAGTTTTGTTTATCTCCAGGAACTGAGCAACACAGATACAATGCAAGTAACCCATCGGAATGTGACGAGGCGGAGGCGCGCCTGCGGACAAGGCGCAGGCAAAGACTGGCCGGGCAGACACAGGCGGAGGCTGCGCTTGTGTTAACCCTTGAGCCACCCAGGCCTGGTGCTAAGCCTGGGGTGCGTAACTGGTGCTGCTCATATGGAAATGGATAAGCTCTATAGGTTTCTCCATGTCTAGACCAATGTCCCTTAAAGCACAGTCTTTGGGTCACCTGAACGGAGTCACCTGTGTAGCAGTAAATATGCAGAGACCCAGGAGTCGGACCGGGGGAAGGGACGGAAAATGGATCTAAGGAGGCTGGCTCCCTGGGGGCTTTTCACACAAACTAAAATTAAGGAGAAGGTGGTGGCGAGGGGCGGTGGAGAGAATATAAGACGGCCAGAGAAAGACACAAAGAAACAAAATCAGAGACAAGGAGGGAAATTTTATACTTATGCTATGACACAAAAAGTATTATGCACCAAACTGTAGCAGCTGAATCTGATAGTCCCATTAAAATATTATAATGAGACCAGAAGACTTTTCAGAGAAGTGAACATGTATCACATTAAGCCTCCTACAAGGATGTGCTCTCCCTGGTACAAAGCTTTTCAAAGTGTATGAAAACCGAGTGAGGCCCCGCCCTCCCCAGCTCGTCTAATCACACTAATGAAATGCTACCAGCCGCGCCAGGCAAATTCCTTGTCACATTTCATTGTAATTCATGCATTACTTTTACTAGACTAAATCACAAAGCACCTTGATCAGTCATGAAATTAAGAAACATTTGCGGAAGATAGTTTTTCTCAGATATTCCTGGGGAAGCTTTTGGGTAGATTTCAGGCCACCCAGTGGCTTTTGCAGAGGCTGATTTGGCAATGCCATTTTGATCTTGTCCCCATCGGTCTTCTGGCATATGGGTGTGAATGTCAAATGTCTTCCTTCCTTATTAGCTGCCATCTCATCAGCCCCAGCTGCTTCACTTTTTACTCTTTTAACCATGTTCCTGCTTTTAAAATTAATGAACCACCCTGATTGGTGTGACTCAGTGGGTTCGGTGTCGTCCCACAACCCAAAGGCCGCTAGTTCGATTCCTGGTCAGGGCACATGTTTGGATTGCAGGCCAGGTCTCCGGTTGGGGGCGTGCGAGAGGCAACCAATCGATGTTTCTCACATCGATGTTTCTCTCCCTCTCTTTTTCCCTCCCTTCCCCTCCCTCTAAAATAATTAAGTCGAATTAAATTAATGAACTATGGCCTTATTCATAGTCAGGGATTTGTGTTTTGATTCCATTGTGATGACAAATAAGCCCCAAGTTTTAGCTTGGATTGTGACCATATCAAAGGCGTGGGGCTGAGATGAATTTTCCAAAATATTATCATGTTGGGTCTGAGTCCTACACATTGTCTTGAAATGGTGGGTAGCAGCTGGACTCGCCTAAGTTCAGTGGGACGTACTGCGCACCCACCACGCTGGGGAGAGCAAGACAACGGGCCACAGCTCCTGGCCAAGGAGCCTGCAACCAGCACACCACTAACTGCTTTCCCTTCCCTCTGTCATTCCTACAAAACACAGGAAAGTCAGGACCCAAAGACATCACACTGCTCCGAGGCCGATCCTCAAATAAATGAGAGATTGCGTAACCAAGGAGCACTGCTCTTCAACGTATTCATGTTTGGGAGTCGATGCTGGAAAGGGTGCCCCTGCTCAAAGGATGTTGGAAACGGCCCCACACCATTTTCCTAGTGAACGAGGAAGCAGCATCTTTCACCCCCTGGTCTCTCTCTTCCTCCCTTCCTGCCCCCCCCGCCCCCCCCCCCCCCCCGTGCTCCAGCCAGGCTGGCTGCGCCCTTCTCCCGCATCCCGGATGTAACTCCAGAGCCCAGAGGCCCCTCGCAGAGGCTGTACAGAGGCCAGCCTGGAACCAAAAGACCCCGGAGGGAGTGTTCCATGCTCAGCACACGGCTGCGGCAGGAAGATGCGGAGAGGGTCGCAGGTGGGGCACATCAGGAAGGCGGTTTGCTTGGATGTTTGTTTGAGAAGCTTCCTTACGTGCGTGCCCCGCCTGCTGCTTGGAGCCAGCAGTGGGTGGAGCTGACTGAATCTCCAGGCAAACTGCTGTCGGCTGAGGACCCACCGAGTGTCTGCTTCGGGTGGGCAGCCTCCGCCTTCGAGAGGCTCTACACGGTCCGCACCCGGCAGGCAGCTCCCCGGTCCATGTGCCAGGCTTAGGCCAAGGCAGGGCACCGCCTTCTGCACTGGTCACTCGGGCACGGCCAGCTAGAGCCCCGCTGAGAGCCCGGGTCTGCGACAAGCCCCACGCCCCATCATGCAAATGGTGTACCACGCAAACATCTCACCACCGAATCTTTCATCTTCTTGGGGAGAGGGTCTTCCGCCATTTCCTCCAGATCTTGATGTAGAAATTTAGGAAACAATTTGCACTGAATGAAGGACCTAAAAATAGAAAAACACACACATCTTACTTTTTTAAACACATGCCCATTTCAGCTCCTTTCAGAGATGCCCGTCTCCTCTCCCCGGCGTGACCCCTGGGGCGAAGGCAGCGGTGCCACTTAGGAGACGCCGAGAAGGTCCTGTGGAGGCCGAGCGTCTCGCGCGCTCGCCCGGGGAGGGCAGAGGCGGCCTGGGCCGCAGCCCCCGTCTGCCCCTGCCCCGCGGAGCGAAGCGGAAGCAGTTGCTGGCAGCTCAGGGGTTTCTGGTCGACCTGCACTTCTCCCTCCCTCGCCCAGGGACCCGCGGGGGAGAGTCCAGCCGCACTGGCCCTGAACAGCTGCCCTCCACCTGGTGAGAGAGCAAGGCTGCGGTGACCCACGTGCTGTGTCCCAGTGCGGGGCACGCTACTCACAGGTGTGTGTGTGTCGCAGGGCACGGTGTGTTACAGCTGTGTGCGTATCATAGCACGGGTGTGTTACCCAGTGCTGTCTGGGGGGTCACAGCACAGGGCGCGTCATTCACAGATGTGTGTGTGTCACAGTGAGGCGCGTGTGTTACTCACAGGAGCACAGAGGGGTCGCTGCTCTGCCTGCTCAGATGGTAGGACAGTGAAACCAAGAGGCCGCAGAAGGCTGAGAACAGCGCCGGGATGTGCTGTGTGCTCCACGGTTCCTGGGGAAAGATTCCAGAGGGCAGCCAGTCACCCCAGGATGGGTGTGGAGGAGCCAGGCCGCTCCCTGTAAAACCCGAGGCACCATCCTCGGCATCCAGCTGGATGGGCACGGTGTCCTGTCCTCATTCCTGCCGATGACCTTCCCAGCACCTGATGGCCGCACAAAGCCCTGCTTGTTCACGTCCCCACAGCGATTCTGACAAGACACTGGGAAGGGAGGGGGCACTGCCCACGGATTGTACGTATTTCTGAGAACATGTTTACTTCATCCCTTCTGAAATTAAGTTTAGGATTTAGATAAGATGGAACGTTAAACATGTTCCTGCTTCTGAGTTCAGTGTAGTAATAATGACTGTAAGAGCTGCATTGATATATGAGGTCTGTCCAGATGGTATCCAGCCATGTAACATGAAAAATAGACACATTTACTGAAGAACATACAAGATATAAGAAACCCTGTACACAGCAAAATGACCCCTCAGTCCCCTTCAAAGTAGGCACCTTGGGACCTCACACGGTTCTCCCAATCGCCATCAGCTGCCCCATCATATTTTCCTGAATCTCATCGATGACCTGAAATCTCTTCCCTTTCAAAGGTGATTTTATTTTTGGGAAAAGCCAGAAGTCTCAGGGTGCTAAACGGAATCACCTGGGTGATTTGAAAAACCTCTGCACAAGACATGATACATGAGCAGGCGCCATGTCGTGATGGAGCTGCCAGTCACCAGTTGCCTTCCCGGCCTTCTGAATCAACTGAACAGTTTCCGTGGAGGAATGTTCAAGCTTAACACAAAATTTGATGCAGATTCATTGCTCTACTCTCTCAGTCACTTTGAATGCGATGGCTACACAGTACACATGCTCACTCAACGGCGTCTACCGCCCTCACTGACTAGTACAGTGAAGTCCTCATTGTTCACGCATGCGCATTCCAGTCCACTCTCCTTGGCTGCCAGGTTACATCGATGTAGCACAAAGCATCCTTGTGAGAATAACGATGGCTGGACTTTTTCCAGAGAGACCTCATATTTAGCCTTTCAGTTGCCATCAATGGGGCCGCCCATGTCCCCTGAAAGCTGCCTTTTGTCAAGGGCTTCAATACTTTTCTCTCCAGAGTCTGATCCCCAGCTCACCACCTGTTTATTTGAAAAGGATGAGCTGTAAATTATGCTCGGAATCCAATACACAGCTGAGTGAGTCAAGTGTGCTCCTATCACACTTGTGACTGCTATGATACACTGGAAAAGCCAGCGTTACCCTGGGCAGAGAGAGCGGTTTCATTTCCGCCAGCCTCACTTTCTTAGAAGGTAAAATCCATTCCCTTTCTTGGCCCCACAGGGAAGCCCTCGGAGCCTGAGAGCAGCACCTGGAAGGGAACGGAGGCCGCCGAGCCCGTAGCTAGAGAGGCAGGGCAAGTCTGGCTCCAGATATAGCGTTCCACCACCAGCCACACCGAGGGCCTCCCTGGGAGCCCCCGACCAGCTCCCTTGCTGGCCCGTGGGTCGATCCTCACACGTCATTGATACGTCTGTCCCTTCTAATCTGTACCTTCCTTTCACTGGATCCTCCTGGGCAAGGAAGGCTTCCACTGTATCTGTCCAGAATGATTGCTAACAGTGTCAGCAGGAGGATGGGATGCCAGTCTCCACATCCCCCCCTCCACAGACTCCAGGGTTCGTCTGCCACGTGACCGAAGGAGGTGTCCTCCTCTTCTAAAAGGCAAATCAGTCGCATTATTGTCTCCCACACAGTATTTTTCAATGACTCCTCAACGACCTCCTAATGAAATCTGCTCCAGAGGAAGCTACCTGAGCCCACTAGGGTCTGGCCTTCGCTCAGCTTTCCAGCCCCATTCCTCACCTTTAGGATACACACAGCCACAGCCATAAAGACACATTGGATCCTGGCCCCCTGCCTCCGCCAGCAGGGCTCCATCTGCACAGAGGGCCCGGCCAGGGTAAGAAACCCGCCTACTTGGGGCTGTTTCCCTGATGGCCCAGGAAGATTTAGGGGCCCCCTGCTATGTGCCAGGCACCAAAGGGCATGCTTGTGAGAAGGGTCTTGGGGAAGGGAGAACACACGAGTGATGGGCATTCACAGAGGAGGAAGCAGAGGCTCAGGTGAGGCACGAGAGTGGTTTTTAGGTGGAGCCTGGCCCAGAAGAAATGTGGGACAACATGGTCCTTCCTCTGTGGGGCTCCTGTAAAGGGCGAGCTTGGTTCTGCGGCTGCTAGTGGGTGGATGGAGCTGTCGCCTCCCCCGGCACATGCGCTCCTCCGCCTCCTGCTCCGGCCGCCACCTAAGGCTTCTCTCCTTTCATTCCGTACTTAGCCAGTAAAAAAAGAAAGAGAGAAGAGAGAGAGAGAGAGAGAGAGAGAGGAACCTGCTAAGTTCTATTTTCTTCCATTGATTCCTCTGTGCTTGCCTACACTGAGTATTTAGTTCACAATTTCATGCAGCCCATAAAAAATGCGAACGCTGGAAAAAATCACTAAGAGAAGGACTTAGTGACCTCGACCTTGGAAGTGACTGTCACTGGATGACACAGAGAAAAGGTCAAGGCAACGGGCATTGGCAGAAGTAGATTCCAGGCTCATCACGTCCGGGAATGAATGATGCTGTGGAAGGTACTTAGCCTCTCCGGGGCTCGCTCTCTCTTCTATAAAAAGATGACAGTGACACCTTTCTTGAAGAATTGCATTAATGACTTAATGAGATTCAAAACAGCCTTGCCCTCTGCTGAAGCAGTATGTCAACGTTAGTTTTTATTAATTTGAACAAGAAAGACTATGATGGATGGTCTTCGCGTGCAATAAATTGAAGCCACTAAATATATTTAAGTAATTGTTTACCTACTTTTATTCACCTAATACCCCTTCCCTAATTCTTCTCTCATTTACTCTCCACATAATTAAATTTCTTCCATGCAAACACAAGTGCACAGCTAACCTCATTAGCGCTGGAGACCCTCCCTCCTCCTCTACGGGGATAGCAATTGGTTGAAAAGGGAGTGGGAGGTAAAAGCATCAGATCGGCAAGTGGGGTCAAAGTGAGTGATGTTGGCCTCCAGTTTCCCAGCATCTGTCGCGGGCTGTGGTTACGCATCTGCTTGAGTGACTATCTGATTAACATCCGATCTTCCACGGGTAGAGCCCAGTGACAGCAGCGACTCTTTCTCACCCCAGTGGGTTCTGAACACCTTGTGGAGCTGGGCCCCAAAAGGCGTTTAATCAACATGTGCAGAAGCAATGCACCGGCTCTGCGTGACTCTTCCTTCCTGTGCAGGGCACACAGAAGAGGGGTTAGGGCGCGGATGACCATATTTAAGAGTCCACGAGGGCAGAGCAGCAGTTAAAAGCATGGCTCTGGCCTGCGACTTCAGTTCCAACTCCGCTGAGCATCGACACTGAGATGCTGGGCAAGCTAATGAGCCCAGGCTCCTTATCTGAGGTCATTTAAAAGTCGCACCCCATAGGGCTGTTGTAAGTATTATATGAAATACGGTGTGTTAAATTCTTAATGGAATAGCCAGTATTGAATGCTCAATAAACGTTCGCTATTACTGCACGCTTTACTGAGACAGTGTCTCAGCGTATTCAGGCCCTGTCGTACAGTACCACAGCCTGGGCGGCTTATAAACAGCAGAAGTTCACGGCTCCCAGTTCTGGAGGATGGGAAGTCCAGGAGCAAAGTGCCGGCCGATTCAGTGTCTGGTGAGCCCCCGGGCTCTGGTTCATTGATGGCTGTCCTGTCACTGTGTCCTCGCATAGTAGGAGGGGCAAGAGCACTTGTCCCAATCACAAGGGCTCCATCCGCATTACCTGAGCACCGCCCAAAGGCCCCGCCTCCTAATACCATCCCCTTGGCAGCTGGGATGTTAACGTATGTACTGGGGGGAGGGGCGGGCAGGGGGCCGCAGACATCAGACCGTAGCAGACCGGTAAGGAGACTGAGGACTGCAGTAAAAATCCCATTTCCTGAAAAAATTAGAATCAACTTTAAGAACGGCGCTTCTCTCAAAGGCAAGGGAAGAACAATAATTTTTCCAGGTTCCGTATATTCTCCTGTTTCTGTGCCACAGGCAGAAATGGGGAAAGGGGGGATCTCCACCCGCTGCGACTCTGACCGTGCCCAGAAGTGCCATGGCTGCCCCGAGCTGCACACACTGAACTGGCTGGTCTCACGGGGGGCAATCCTCACTTATAATCTTAAGTCGTTGCCTTCCCTGGTGCGCGTCCGCCATGAGCAAAAGTCTGTATTCATTCTCCCGCACATGGGATTTCTTTTAAGCGAAACCAGTAGCTTTGGGGTGCACTGTTAGACGTGACTGAATGGCAGTGTGGCCACAGAGCCGGGCAGGAGGCGTAACTGCTTCCTTCACCGATGCCAAGGTGACAGGGCGCCAGAATGGCACACTTGCTCCCCGAGAGGAAGGCTGCGCTGAAGGGCGGTGCGGCCCTCATTCCTGGCCCTCATTCGCGGGGCAGGTCTGCGTGCGTCTGGCCCAGCCTCTGACCTCCAGGGAACTGTCTCCAAAACAACCTGGGCCGACCTGATTGGGAAAAGGCGAAAATTTCCTAGGTTGTTTACTGGAAACACCTTCAAGCCCCAAGGTTTTAACCTTGTTCATTTTTCCAACAGATGCAGTTTTCATTTTATTTTTTATGTAGAAAATAGGAGGCAATGTCTCCAGGAAGCAGGGCTAGGAAAGGCTTCTTGGATTATCAATGTGAGTTATTCTTTCATGTGCCAAGTGCCAAAATTTGCAAAACCATGTGATTTTCAGGAAAGACTATTTTCAATTTGAAAGGACTCTCACAGCTGAGCTCGCCCAGCCTCTTCAAAGCACTGATCAAGGACAGAGACGCGAGACTAGGGCCAAGGCCACCGCTCTCGCTCCGCGCACTCCAGGGCCCTCAAGGTTTGCACAGTGAACTGTGAGAGACATGCGGGCGTCTCGCCACTCTCCACGCAGTAGGAGTTGGCATGGTGTTTTTTA